CCCCCCCCCATCCCCCGCCCCCCTGCAAACCAGCCCTCGCCTTGACAAGTCAATTTTGGAAGATGACTCGGAGTTAGAGCGCATGTGTTCCTGTAGGTTGATAACCGAATTAAAGCTAATATTATTAGCTGAGCTCTTGTTCAACCCACTTAAAATAAAACAACCAAACTGTAGGCCTATGAAATAGATTAGTGATGTTCACCTATTGCCTCATCAAAATAATGGCCCATCTTTTTATTGTATTACCCAGCGGATAGAAAAGAAATTTTAACTAAGGAAAGTTATTTTAAAGCATCCCACCCACGTCCAGTTTAAGACCACCTGTAGTATGATAAATCTGTAAGCCGAAAAAAATTAGATTTATAGACCCCGATTAAACAAAAGAGGAGCCACGCGAAGCACCGCAAGGGCAAATGCAGCTTTCAACTAGTAGGCTTGATTCTACCTATTGAAAATAAGTATTAACTTTAGAAAACATGTAACTATCCATTCTTTTTCTTTCTGAAAACTATACTGTATAAGTTAAAGATGTTTCTGCAAGGACCTGTGCATGGATCAAGAGGCTGTCATGTGAATAGAACAAAGGAATGCTGTATGGTTTAAAATGAGGAAACTTGTGTGTTAGAGTTGTAGCTTATTCAATATCTACCTATCCTACTTATTCAATATATATGCTGAGGCAATTATCAGAGAAGCTGGACTATATAGAGAACATGGCATCAGGATTGGAAAGCTTATCAACAACCTTCGATATGCAGATCACACAACCTTGCTTGCTGAAAGTGAGAAGGACTTACCAATGAGAGCGAAAGACTGCAGCCTTCAGTAGGGACTGCAGCTTAATGTAAAGAAAACCCAGATCTTGACAACTGGACCAACAGACAATATCATGATAGAGAGTGAAGCTGTTGATGATTTCAATTTGATTGGGTCCACAATCAATGCTCATGAAAGTAGTTGTCAAGAAATCAGATCATGTATTGCACTGGGCAGATCTGCTGCACAAGATCTTTTAAGTGTTGAAGGCCAAGGATGCCACGTTGAGGGCTAAGGTACACCCACCCTAAGCCATGGTACTTTCAATTGCCTCATATGCATGTGAAAGTTAGACAATGAATAAGAAAAACGCATGAAACATTGATGCTTTTGAATGATAGTGTTGGTGAAGAACATTGAAAGTATCATGAACTGCCAGAAGAACGGGTGTGAGCAAATGCCACAGAGAGGGGAGCAACTAGAATTAAAACCCACAAGGAGGACATAGAGATCCTGGGGGTGTTGGAGCAACAGCAATTACTGAGAGGAATTACTAAGAGCTGGAAGAAGGGCAAGCTTGATGGTGAGGCAGGAGAAAGGTAAAAGGAAACAGAGGAAGTACCCAAGAAGCAAAGCTATGGATAAGAAGTGTAAGCATAGGTGTGTACATATGAAAAGAAAATAATTGATAAAAATAGAAGTTTGGGCCTAGGTGCATATATTTATATGGCAATACACTGAGTTAGTGAATGGACTTCGGGCCTCTGCTTATGCCTTCCCTTGCAAATTGGCATTCTGTGATGCTCTCATCCTGCCAGCACAATCGCTGAAGACAAAATGGGCACATAAGTAAATGTGGTAAAGAAATGAGATGGTGCCCGGCTATCAAAAGATATAGCATCTGGGGTCTTAAAGGCTTGAAATTAAACAAGCTGCCATCTAGCAGAGAAGCAGCAAACCCATATGGAAGAAGCACCCCAGCCTGTGTGATCATGAGGTGTTGACTGGACCGGGTAACAGGCATCAGAAGACCCAAAACAAAAACTACATTGTTGAGAACAAGAAGGGTTGGAGCAGTTGACCTCAAACCCATCTGTAGACAATGGAACATCTCCTCACAGAGGGTTCGTAAGGAAGGGCGGAGTCAACCAGGGCGCAGCAAAGCACGGAGGAAACACACAATATTCCTCTGGTTCCTTGAAGCTTCCTCACCCCCCTGGCCCCGCCCCCAGTATCATGACCCCAGTACAGTCTTTCACTGCAGGCTAGACCGGTGCAAGTGCACAGGTACAGATAAGAGCTCACTACATACACATGGAAACCAGAAACAGGAATGGGAGTAGCAATACCGGAAGGGTAGGGGGAAGGTAGGGAGAGGAGGAGAGGAAGGGGGATCCAATCCCAATGATTGACACAAAAACCCTCGAGGGGGACGAACAACAGAAACCATGGGGGAAGGGAGACAGTCAGTGTAAGATATGAAAATAATAATAATTTATAATTCATTAAGGGGTCATGAGGGGGGGCAGGAGCTGATATCAAAGGCTCAATAGAAAGTAAAAGTCAAGAAAATAATGATGGCAACATGTACAAATATGCTTGACATAATTGATGTATGGATTGTTATAAGAGCTGTAAGAACCCCCAATAAGATGGTCTTTTAATAATATATATATATATATATATATATATATATATGATGCAAAACAAACAAAATCTGTCTTCAGCTCTTGAACAAAGGATAACCAGAATGTCTTTAGAAGCAAGGATGGCAAGACTTGTCATGTACTTTGAACATGTTATCTGGAGAGAGCATTCCCTGAAAAAGGACACTATGCTTGTAAAGTAGAACAGCAATAAAGGAGGACCCTTAGGAGATGGCTTGAGACTGGCTGCAACAATGAGTTCAACCAGGTGAGGATGGTACAGGACTGGACAGTGTTTTATTTTAGTGTGCACAGGGTTACTTACTATGAGTCAACACTGACTTCCTAGCACCTAACGGCAACTTCCATGTTATTGGTTGTGCATCCATGTAAAATGAAAACCTTGAAAATTTCAGTCTTTTCCCCACTTATGTTGATGTGCTTAATTTTCTTGTTGAATTTTTTGTTTTCTTTGAGAAGTAAGTCATCCTGAAGGCTGTCATCTTTTGGTCGTCAGTTAGTGTTTGAAATTTTCTTGACTCTCAGCAAGCAAAGCTGATTCATTTGCATCTCAGAAGTTGTTATTCAACCTTCTTCTAATCCTGAGGTCATGTCCTTCTTCATATAATCCAGCTTCTCATCTTATTTGCTCAGTTTACAGATCGAAAAGGATGGTAGAAGAAATCAGTCCTGATACAGACCCTTTGGGATACACACCCAAGGAGACACTTAGCATTTCCTTGTGATGTTTGAACGACTGCCTCTTGGTCTATATACAGCCGACACATGAACACAATTAAATGATCTGGACTTTCCATTTTTGGAAACGTTACCCATACTTTGTTATGATCCACACAAGTCGGATGTATTTGCTTATTCTGTAAAATACAAGTAAACATCGTTCAGTCAAATTCATCGGATGTCAGCCATGACATTCCTTGTTCTATGTTCTCTTCTGAATCTGGCTGGGATTTCTGGCAGTGTACTGCCAATGTACTGCAACAGTTTCAGATTACCTTCAAGAAAATTTGACTTTTACGTGATGTAAATGGTGTTCTTTGATAATACATATGTTTTGTTGGTCTACCTTTCTTTGGAAAGTGAAGTTTTTCCAGTCCGTGGCCAGATAGCTGTCTTTCAAACTTCTCACAGTGAAAGATAAAGTTATTGACTTGAGATCTTCTTTTTCTTTGCCCATGTTCACAGCTCATATTTCTTCTGAGCAAAAGTTTCTCTATCTACCAGTTTTGGTATGTTGTCTTTTTGTTTTCATTTGTCTCATAATATTTTCTAATTTTCTTAGTTATTTCTTTTCTGATCTCTTGGTTCCTTAAGACGGTGTTTTTCATTTCCATATTTGTAAATTTTCAGTTTTCCGTCTGTTATCAACATCTAGTTTCATAACATTGTTGTTTGAAAAGATTCTTGGCTTGATTTAAATATTTTAAATGTTATTGAGACTTGCTTTGTTACCTAACATATGGTCTTCTGGAGAATATTCCATGTAGATTTGAGAAATCTATGTTTTGTTGTTATTGAGTGGAGCGCTCTATATATATGTGTGTTAGCTCTAATTAGTTTATAATGTTCAAGTGCTATTTCTTTGTTGAAATCTAAAAGATTGGAATCTTCTATCTAGTTGTTCAACCTCTTATTGAATGTGGACTCTTGAATCCTCCAAGTATTACCATCAAACTATTTCTTCCTTTAATTCTCTCAATTTTTATCTTACTTATGGAAGGCTGTTGTTAGATGTGTTTACGTTTATATAGTTGGTTTGCTATTACTATATTTTGTACTTACTGCTTTTTTGGGTCTTTGGACCCAAACTTAGTACCTTGTAGACAGCATATAGATGGATGTTTTTTTTCTTCTACATTCTGCTAGTCTGCCTTTTAATCGGAGAGTTTAATCTAACTACTGAAAAAGGTGAGCAAATAATTAGAGAAGTTGGACTATGTGAAGAATTCGGCATCAGGATTGGAGGAAGGCTTAACAACTTATAATATGCAGATAACACAACCTTGCTTGTTGAAAGTGAGGATAATTTGAAGCACTTGCTAATGAAGATCAGGAGATCAAACGATGTATTGCTTTGGGTAAATCTGCTACACAAGACTCCTAAGTGTTGAAAAGCAAGGATGTTACTTTGAGGACTAAGGTGCATCTGACCCAAGCCATGGTATGTTCAATTGCCTCATAAGCATGTGAAAGTTGGACATTAAATAAAGAAGTCCAAAGGAAAAGGACGCATTTGAATTGTAGCGCTGAAAAAGAATATTGAAAGTACCAAGGACTTCCTAAAGAACAACAACAAAACTGTCTTGGAAGAAGTACAGGCAGAATGCTCGTTAGAAGCAAGGATGGTGAGACCTTATCTCACGTACTTTGGACATGTTGTTAGGAGAGATCAGTCCCTGGAGAAGGACACCGTGCTTGGTCAAGTAGAGGCAGAGAAAAAGAGGAAGGCAGATGAGATGGATTGGCACAGTGGCGGCAACAATGGGCTCAAGAGGTAGAGTTTCCTTCTGTTGTGCACCGGGTTGCTATGAGTCGGAACTTGACTCCATGGCCCCTAACAACAACTGATAAAGAAGGCTTACTTCTGCCATTTTGCATTTTTTGGTTTACCCCTGGTGTGTCATCTTTTCTCTTCCCCTAAATTCCTCCATGACTACAACCTTTTGCGTGTGATTTTTTTTTACATTGTTTTGATTCCCTTGTCATTTTCTTTTTGGTTGTTATTTGCTATTTTTGTTGTTGTTGTTACTTAGACATCTTAAACTTCTAACAACCTAAAGACTAGACAGGTGAAAGTTTTCAGACATCTCGGGGCTTTTCCGAGTATACATATGTCAGGGGCATCTGTGTGGCACTTTAGGTTGTTTCTATAGAAGATAAAAGTTTTCAAAGTCTACATATATCCCGCCAGGCTTTGGGTAAATGTTTTTGTTTGCCCCAACGGTTTTTGTTTGTTTTCTTTCTTTAAAAGATGGCAGCAGTTTATTCATTTGTCTTTCAAAGTTTTGGAGCAATGTGCTCTGAATAGCTTGCTCCGGATACAGTGAACCCAAGGTCCTTGTATTGGTCTTTCTGAGAAACTCCAATCAGTTCAAAATAGGCAAACATAACTCCTTGGGAGCAAGGTTCATCCTGCTCCCTCTGAAGCCAGGTACCCACACAGGAAATGTAGACTAGCAAGGCACACCAAGGGAGGGAAGTAGAGGAAGACTAATTTTAAGTCACCACAAAACTCTCCCTGGTGCTTCTGTGGCCTTTTTTGGTGGTAAGCATTTGCTTGGTTGTTCTAAATATTTGATTAGTTTCCAGAGTTTTGGTAAGGTCAATTCTGCCAGTTTCTGTGGGTGTTTCGGGATGGGACACTGGAAGTTCCCATTCTACCATTTCTGCTGATGCCATTCCAATACACTAATTATATGAAAAGTAATTTATTTCCATTTAGTGGGCATAATTCATCTCACAGAAAGGGAGGAGTGGAAGTGCCTCCTGGGTTTCCCCAGGCTTTTTGTCTTGATGGAATCAGGCTGCCATGTCTTTCTCCTGCGGAACAGCTGGTGCGTTCAAACTGCCAGCTGTTCAGCTAGCAGCCGAGTGCCTTAACCATGTCACCACCAGACCGCCTTCAACCAACTCGGGAGCAACTGGTTTGGTGTTTGGGTTGAAGCATACTTATACTGTCCTAGTAGTGTCCAGAAGAAAACAACCATCTTAATTGCATTATCCACTTTTCAATTAAAATATTGAATCTATTTATCTTCCTGGATATTGTTCTACGTAGCATGACGTTTTACAACACAAACGGGCTGAGCTATAGAACCAGGTTATCATGGTCAAGCCTCAAAATGTGCGTAAAGAAGCTATTAACCTATGAAAGAATTTTTCCTTTGAATTGTATACATTAACAACAAAAACCCTTTTATGTTTTGAATGCTGTTTATTTATGTTTAAGTAAAAGTAGCAAATGTTACATATGTCATTTCCTTAAGAATATTTATATTGTGTGCAACCACATGGTTATCATCGAGCAATATTTATGGATTCCACAATTCTGAATTTTGTAGTTATTGTATACGTCCTCTTTCCTAAGTTTTAAATGTAACCCTTGCACACTGAGAAAAGTATGGCTTGGCATTGCAGGGTGGTCATGTGTGACAACCTGGCTTCAAGTGAAAAATATCTTGATGGAAGGATGTTTTACCTTTTGCTGATTAAAAAGTGTTATTTTCCTTTTTTGTGATTATCAAATCCATATAGTTTATTTTGAATTCTTTTTACTTCTGATACAATTACAACAAACCAGGAAACTACGCAGAGTAGTCATATCACTGATTAAATGTATATTTAGTATGCTCTGGATGAAATTGATGCTTTTTACTCCCCATCTGTATTAAATATATTTTGGTCAATTAAAAGTTAGACCTATGTCTGGTGAGCAAAAATAGAAAAAGATTATTCTGCAAGTTGATTCATTGTTTTAGCAATCACAAAATTGAATTTGCTCCTGTTTCAGGAGTATAGTGGAATGGTTTAATATTAAAATTAAAAAGTATTGCTGTTCTAATTTTTCATATTCCTGTTTTACATATTTTAAATAACCAAATGCCCGTATTTTTATTGCTAAAACACCGTGACTTGTAACTTAGTCATAATTACCAGATTTTAGGTTGACCTTGCAGCTTTCAGGTCTGTGAACATTTCATTGACGACCTTTCCTAAGGTGCTTACGCTAATGGTTAAAAAAGATATAATGGGGAGTCATCGGTAATAATGAACACCCAACAATTGATTAGAACAATGACAACTCTTAAGGGATAAAGATTTTTGTTGCCATGATACGAGCTCTGTCTTGTTACTTGCACAGAAAAGAATTTCAATATAGGGAAACACACATTTTAAAAGAAAACACACTGCATGCTTCTTTGATTGCTGGAAATGTTCTGCTTCAATGTCTCAGTGGTTTTTCGGTGGAATTACATGCAGTTCTTCTGCAAGCTTGTGCTCTCAGGAGAGCTCAGCAGTCTCATGAACATCTCGCAGCCTGTCTGTCATTGTACTCATCTCTCCACTCTGCCAAGGAGGTCTCCGATTCTCCAACAAAGTCCATGGTCAGATTTTGAACTGAAGATGTTCTGTTTCACATACCTAAAGTGCCTATAAAAACCAGATTTCACAAAAAAAGAGACAGATTTATGTCACTATTTTATCATATTTTTGCAGTTGTAAAAGTTGCTTTTGTGTCTACTACAAATCTTTTGCTTCAAACTACAAATTGCTAGTAACTGTTACTACTGATGTGCTTTAGAAATCATTTTATGATTCACTCAGAAGAACTCTAGCAGAGAACAATTACTTAACATTTTAAAATTCTTTATCTCAAGTGACTAAACACACATACACCAACAACTTTGTACTAAGGAAAGTGTAAAACACACAAAGTGAAATGAACGCACATGTGATAGTTAAGGTTTTGTGTCAACTTGACTGGGCCAGAATTCTCAGTGATTTGTCAGAAAAGACCCAATAATCTCCCATGATGAGATCTAACAATGTAACCACTTCCATGAGGACATCAGCTATGACCTGCCAATCAATTGAAAGGATATTTCCTCAGGTGTGTGACCTGCTTCCAACATAAGTCGATACAGTGGAAAAGCTTGCTTGCTTTTTGTTGAGTCTGGATCCTGCATCTAACTCATCATTCAACCTCTGGTTCTTTGAGCTTGAGCCAGAAGCCTGCTCTCTGACCTAATAATCTTAGGCTCATCAGCTCCTGTAACTAGAGGAATCAGAAGTCTCCAGCCTGACATCTGGCCCACAGACTTGGAACTTGCCTACCTCTATAACATTGTTAGTTCATTTCTTTGATAAACACACACACACACACACACACACACACACGGTTGCTGTGAGTCCGAATCTATTCAACATGGCAGTGAGTTTTAAGTATACTGTACATAATAAGCTCTGGTAGTGCTTCAGGTAATCATTGGATTGCTAACTGCAATGTTAACTGCAGGAGAAATTGGAGGCAATCTGCTCTCATACATATTTAGTCTCAGAAACCCTATTAAGGATTGCTATGAGTCAGTGGGTTAGACATACATATGTAAACTGTAGTGGTTCTACTTCTTTAGAGAACTCAGTTTAAGAAACCCCCATGTACTCATCAACCATCTTATAAAACTACCAACAGTTCTGTCACTCTTCATTTAACCTTTACTAAATGCTTATTAAGTGTCTGCCACTTTCCCAAGTTTGCATTACCTCATTCAAAACTTAGAGGAGCCTAATGGTGGACTTACTAGAGGTGGACTTACTGTGAAGAGTTGAAGGCATTCCGGCATGGTACAACCAATTAATGGCTCCACAGCCAACTGAAAGGCTGTAGGTCTGAGTTTACTTACAGGTGCTTCAAAAGAAAGGCTTGGTGATCTACTCCTGAACAATCAGCCATTGAAAGCCCTGTGGAGCACAGTTCTGTTCTGACACACATGGAGCCACCATGAATCAGAATCAACTTGATGGCAACTGGTTTCATCAAACTTACTTGCAGGGGTACCTTCCAAGAGAGAAGCCCTAGCAATATCTTCACATTTTTATATCTATGTTTGCAAAATCTGAAAGCAATAAAACAAAACATTGCAACTATAATCCGTTAAGACTGTTGTCTCTTTCCACCTTAATTGCCCCTGAGCCATCCTTCTTCCTCCTGTTGTAACCAAAGAGCAGCAGTGGGGACTTGAGATCTGGTTAAGGTTTGACTGGAATAGAACCTTGTGCTCTGCCATTGTTGGCCATTCCCATTTGGAAAGTCTTCAACGGATACTCTGTTTGGTCAAAGAATATCTCAGAGCATTCACTCCACCTCACTGCGATTGAGTTTATGGTGACTCATAGAGACCCTACAGGACAGGGTAGGACTTCCCTTGCTCTTTATGCAACCTCGTGGTTAGCAGCCCAATGTGTAACCCTCAAAAGCCATTACCTTTTATAACTCAGATATAAAAAAACTCAGAAGCTTTTGCCAATGTTACAATAATCCTAAAAATCACATACAACTAATAAGGAATTGAGAATTTAAAAGAAATCTCTATAAACTCAAAAATTAAAAGCAAATTTCCATCTTTCTAAAGCAAGGTCTGCTAAAAAGTTGCCAAAGAGGGAATCCATGTGTACTCAACCCACACATAAAGGGAAAAACGTGTTTTAAAGATATGATTTAATAAAAACATTGTATAATTCTCCACATTCAGTGATATATATTTTTTCATTTTATAAATATTTCTTACCAACTGGTATGCTTGATCTATTTTTATCATTTTATTGGGGGCTCTTATAGCTCTTATAACATTCCATACATCAATTGTATCAAGCATATTTGTACATATGTTGCCATCATCACTTACAAAACATTTTCTACTTGAGCCCTTGGTATAAGCTCCTCTTTTTTCCCCTCCCTCCACCGTCAAGAATCCTTGATCAATTGTATATTGTTATTATTATTTTGTATCTTACATTGTCCATTGGCTCCCTTCACCCACCTTTCTGTTATTTGTCCCCTTGAAGGGGGCGGGGATGACTATATATATGTCCAACCTGGTGATGGGTTCCCTCTTTCTTCCCATTCAGCCTCCCCAACCATCCCCCTACCCTCATCCTATTGCTACTCCCACTATTGCTCCTAAGGGGTTTATCTGTTCTGAATCCCATGTGTCGAGAGCTCTTATCTGTACCAATGTGTGTTCTCCAGTCTAGCCAGATTTGTAAGGTAGAACTGGATCATGGTAGTGGGGGAAGGAAGCATTCAGGAACTAGAGGAATGATGTGTGTTTCATCAGTGCTATACTGCACCTTAGTTGAATCAACATTTTGTGATATTAGCTTTCAAACATTATGTAATTAATTTTCTTCTGTTAAAGAGATATTAAACAGAATTTTATCTATAATTTTGTGTTCTTTAAAGTGAGAGTCACTCTAAGTCAGAATCTACTCAATGGCAGTGGGTTTCTTAAAGTGAGTTCTCCAAATCCTACAAGTTTTAGGTTCCAGAAAGCCTGAATCCTTTCCTGAAATACATATTACTACCATCTTTGTTTAAATTTAAGAGGATCAAGTGACTTGCCAAAGATCATATAGTTATTAAGTGGTGGAGTAGGCTTAATTAAAATGTTTTTCTGACCTTAAAACATTAGATAACATTAGATAAGCACAAAATTATAGATAAAATTCTGTTTAATATCTCTTTAACAGAAGAAAATTAATTACATAATGTTTGAAAGCTAATAAGTTCCTCTAATATCACAAAATGTTGATTCAACTAAGGTGCAGTATAGCACTAATGAAACACACATCATTCCTCTAGTTCCTGAATGCTTCCTTCCCCCACTACCATGATCCAGTTCTACCTTACACCTTAAAACCAAACCAACTGCTGTCAAGTCAATCCCAAATTATATCAACCCTACAGGACAGAGTAGAATCACTCCCTAGAGTTTTCAAGACTGTAATCTCTACAGGATGCAAAGCACCTCCAATTTCTCTTGCTGAGTGTCTGGTGGGTTTGAATCATCAACCTTGTGGTTAGCGGCCAACCACTGAGTGCACTGTGCCACCAGGGCTCCTAAAATATTATATAAGAAGAACAAAATATATGTTAGTCTGTGCTGCCTCTTACTCAATTAATTTAACCTTTTGTGCATTAGTTTAATTCACTCCAAAATAAAATCACAGTAGACTAGGATTTCTTAACCTCAGAACAATTGACCTTTTGGCCCAGGTAATTCTTGGTCACTGCAGGATATTCACTGTCATCCCTTGCTCTACCTATGAGAGACCAATAGCATCTCTCCATGGTAGTAGCCAAAAATATATCCAGACATTTCCAAATTCCCCTGCAGCTACGGAAGTCAGAACCACCCTCCCAATCTTCTTGAGTACAGATGTATTCGCTCATCTTTAGGTTATGATATGTATAGATCGTATTGAAGGAGCCTCGGTGGTGCATTGGTGAAGTGCTTGGCTGCTTTAGAAGATTTGTGGTTCAAATCCAGATGTGGCACTTTGTTCCCATAGGGATTTACAGCCTTGGAAACCCTATGGAGCAGTTCTATTCAGTCCCACCATGTAGCTATAAGCCAGAATCAACTAGATGACAGTAGTTTTAGGTTTTTTTGTGTGTTAAACTTAGAAGAGCGAAATAGAACAACAGTCCACTAGATGGTGCTATATCTGACAAATTCATTAAGTGTCTACATTATGTGCCAGTTATCTTTCCCAGCATGTTTTCTCAGTGCATTTGAAATCATTTGAATTGAGTTAAATTTCAGTAGGAGGATATCTGCCAGTTAAAAAATATTTCAACTCTAGTGTTAATGTCCACTTTTGATTCGATTCTTCCAGCCATTGATTCCAACTCATAGTGACCCTATATTTATGATTCTACGCATATATATATTTCTAGTCCAAGCAATTTTCCACGGCAAGTACTCAGGTCCAGAGACGCAATATTGTGTTTATTGCAGGAGATCTGTCTGTTGTTTCAACTCTACTCAATGCCACAGCCAGGTGATTTCATAACACTGCGAGGCTAGTGGCAGATACAAATGAAGTTGAAATAAAATCCTTCTTATCTTTAATTTGTTTAATAAGCTGCTGGGCTAATATAAGCAGAGATGAATTTTGTGCCTCACCTTGGCAATATGAGATATTAAAAAGGCAGAAGTAAAAGAGGCAGAAGTTAGAATATAGAATATTAAAATTCATTCCTGAGCTTTGAAATATAATCATCTGATCCAAAAGAAAGCCCTATGCCTTGGAAATCTGGTTATATAATATTTAGAAAGGGAACCTGTTCCTCATATAACAGAATTCTAATATTAAAATGAGGAGTCCTAAGGGTGTCTGTCCTTCTCCAGGGCCTGGTCTCTCCTGACAACATGTCCAAAGTGCATGAGATGACATCTCACCATCTTTGCCTCCAAGAACATTCCAGCAATACTGTTTCCAAGACAAAGCTGTTTGTTTTGGGGGAGTCCATGGTACTTTCAAAATCTCTGCCAGCCCCACAATATAAATCTATTTGGTCTTCTTGAGCCTTCCCTTATATAATGTCCAGCTTTAACAAGCATATGATGCAACTGAAAATGCCATGGCTTGGATTAGAGAAACCTTAGTCCTCACACTGATGTCTCTAAAGAGATCTTGTGCAACAGATTTCTCCAGTGCAATGCATCATTTGATATCTCGACTGCTGGTCGTTCCATCAGCGTTGGCTGAGGATCCTAGTAAGAGGAAATTCTTGACAACTTCAATATTTTCATTTGTCATGATGTTACCTATTGTGAGGATTTTGGTCTTGCTTACATTGAGTAGCAATCCATATTGGAAAGGCTACAATCCTAGATCTAGCAAGTGTTTCTAATCCTCCTTACTTTCAGCAAGCAAGGTTGTACCATCTGCGTATCAAAGGTTCTTAATAAACCTTTTTCCTACCATTTTTCTTCATAGTCCAGGTTCTCTGCTTATTTGCTCAGTGTACAGATTGAATAGAACCCTGATCCATACCTTTCCTGACTTTATACCATGAACAGCGTGCCCTTGTTCTGTTCAAATGACAGCCTCTTGATTCATGTACAGGTTCCACATGAGCACAATGAAGTGTTCCAGAGTCCCTAGTCTTCTCAAGACTATCCATAGTGGGTTATGATCTACAGTGTAGATTCTACACAGTTGAATGTCTTTGCATAATCAATGAAACACAAGTAAACATTTTTCTGATATTCTCTGCTTTGAGCCAAGATGCATGTGACATCAGCAATGAAATTCCTTTTTCCACGTCCTCTTCCGAATCTGGCCTGAACCCCTGGCAGCTCCCTGTCAATGTGCGGCTGCAACGGTTGTTGAATAATCTTCAGCAAAATTTTACTTGTACGTAATATTAATGATGTTGTTCGATGATTTCCAGATTCTGTGGGGTCTCCTTTCTTTGGAATGGGTACATATAAAGATTTCTTTGAGTCAGTTTGGACAGCTAGCTGTCTTCCAGCTGGTGTAGACTAGTGAGTACTTCCAGTGCTTCATCAATATGTTGAAATGTATCATTTGGTATCCTGTCAATTTCTGGAGTCTTGTTTTTGGCTAATGCCTTCAGTGCAACTTGGGGTCTCTTCCTTCATTACCATCAGTTCTTGGTCATATGCTATCTCAACATGGTTCAATGTCAACTAGCTCCTTTTGATATAGTAACTCAGTGTGTTCCTTCCATCTCCTTTTGATGCTTCTTGCATCAATCAATATTTTGCTCATAGAATCCTATGTAACTCGATGCTTGAATTTTTTTTCCCTGCTCTTACCTCTTGAGATATGCGGAGCGTGTCCTTTCTTCTTGGTTTTCTAATTCCAGGTATTTGCACATTTCATACAATACTTTGTCTTCTTGAGCTGGACTTTACATTTTTCTGTTCAGCTCTTGTACTTCACTATTTGCTTTGGCTACTCTACATTCAAAAGCAAGTTTCAGGGTCTCATCTGATATTCACTTTGATCTTTTCTTTTTTCCTTTCTTTTAAATGATCTTTGCTTTCTTCGTGTATTTTTTTGTTTGTTTTAAATCATTTTATGGAGGGTGCATACATCTCTTATCACAATACATGCATGCATCCATTGTGTCAATCACATTTGTACATTTGTTGCCATTATCATCCTCAAAACATTTTCTTTCTATTTGAGCCCTTGGTTTCAGCGCCTCATTTTCCCCCTCCCTCCCCCATCTCCCACCCTCAGGAGCCCTTGATAATTTATAAATTATGATTTTTCATGTCTTATACTGACCGATATCTCCTTTCACCCATTTTTTTCCTGTTGTCCGTCCCCCAGGAAGGGGGTTATATGGAGATCCTTGTGATTGGGTTCCCCTTTAGCCTTCTTCATGTCTTATGTTCTAGATGTCCCCCCACAGCTCATCGGGTCTTCTGTCATTAGTGCTCAATGAGTCAAGTGTATTCTTGAGATATGCTCAAAATTCAGGTGGAATATACTAAAGGTTGCATTTTAGATTTTAGTAGACTTATATTTTCTCTTACTTCAACTCAATTTTCTTGACTTTCAACTTGAACTTACATATGAGAAACTGATGGTCTGTTCTACAGTCAAACCCTGTCCTTGTTTTGGCTGATGGTATTGAGCTTTTCCATTCTCTCTTCCCACAGATGTAGTCAATTGGATTTCTGTGTATGCTGTCTGGAGAAATCCACCTGTATAGTCATCATTTACATCATTGAAAAGAAAGTGTTGCTCTTGCAGAAGTCTATCCCATGATCACCAGTTTCATTTCTATCACCAAGGCCCAATTTTCCAGCTATTCTGCCTTCTCGTTGTTTCCAACTTTAGTATTTCAATCTCCAATAATTAGCAATGCATATTGATTGAATAATTTCAAACTGAAGTGGTTGGTTGAATTCTTCAATTTTTTTCATCCCTGGCTTCAGTAGTTGGTCCATACACTTGAATAACAGTTGTACTGGCTGTTTGGGGTGTGTTTGTCTTTTCCTCACATGCAAATAGATGTGATCCCGACACAGACAGCACTGTATTTCAAGATGAATCTTTAAAAAATAAATAAAAGGACATTTATTTTATTTATTTTTGGTTGTTTGTTCTTAAATCATTTTGTTGGGAGCTCTTCCAGCTCTTATCACAATCCATAGAAATATCCTTTTAGATGATAAAACCAACCCCTTTCCTCTTGAATTTGTCATTCTCAGCATGGCAAACCATATGATTATCTGATTCAAAATGGCCAGTATCAGTCCACTAATGCCAAGGTGATCAATCTTTATGCAGTCCACTTCATTTCTGATGACTTTCAATTTTCCTAGAGTCATACTTTACACAGCCCAAGTTCCAATGCTTACTTGCTGCTTACAGCTCTTTGTTCTCATTTGGAGAGGGGCCCCATCAGTAAGTGAAGGTCCTGGAAACTTAATTCCCTCCATGTCATTATGGTCGACTTTCGTTTGAGAAGGCAGCTTTTCCTCAGTCATGCCTTGAGTGCTTTCCAAGCTGACGGGTAGCCCTGGTGGCATAGTGGCTATAAGTTGGGCTGCTAACTACAAAGTCAGTGGATTGAAACCAGCTACTCCACAGGATTCTACTCCCAAGTGCATTCTACCCCCTACACAGTTACAGTCTTTGGAACTCACAGGGGCTGTTCTACTCTGTCCTTAAGGATCACTATGAGTCGGCATCAACTCTATGGCAGGAAGTTTGGTTTTTTTGGTCCAACGTGAGGTGCTCATGTTCAACACTGACTAATCCTCCGATGGATAACCTGTCCCATCTTTGTAGTCTGTTCTTAGACCAAACATACCGCTGAAACGCGTTCATCTTGGGGGACCCTGCTGGTGTTTGGAAAACCAGTGGCAAAGTTTCCAGCATCATAACAATACACAAGCCACCACAATATGACAAACTGATAGACTAAGTGGTGGTTTTTCAGTAACACAATGCAAATTTTCTTACTGGTAAATTTTCTTACTAGACAAATACAAACTAAAAGCACTACCTTAAAGATCTAAAGACAAGGGGAAACAATAAGGAATATGAGGAAGGGGACTCCTTAATGCTTCTAGCTAACATCTTGTGCACATATCAGACTATTTAGATTTGGAAGGCTAGTCTCATTAATGTGCCTCAGATTTTCTAAAGGTTTGAATCTCCCTAGTTCTAGAGAAACATTTCATAAATTGTCGTTTCCCTCTTTTGGCTACTTTCCATATCATCTTCAAGTTAAGAAGTGTTCTATTAATAAAAAACTGTTTCTCAGCAAAACATATTTGGAAAAACACTATCTACTAGATGCCTTGCTTAGAGATTTCGGGTACAGCAGGGCATCAGAGTATTATGTGACCTCAAAGGTTTGGGGGAAAGAAAATCTGCGTGACTTCTGTTAGCATTCCCCAAGTTTACATCCCCTAGCGACCCTGTCCCACTTTCCCCCTGCAGGAATACCTATTAGTATTTCTCATGTTACTAGCATTCTCCAGTAGGTATTTTGAACATGGTAATCTGTAAAATACATACACATATCACAGTATTTTATTGCCACATTTAAAGCACTGTGAATATTTTAAAGACTTACCAAATAGGCCTACTTGAAATCCTGGGAATTAAGATTTTTGCCTAAATTTGGCTTCTTGGTACAATTATTTAACTTTTGTCCTATCATTCTTCTAATTGAAACATCATCTGTGCTGGGAAATAACTGTTTTGTGGCGCCTGTAAAAAAATAAAATAAGGGCTCATGAGAGAGGGAAGGGGCACAACGGGAACTGATACTAAGGGCTCAAGTGGAAAAAAAATGTTTTTACAGTGATGATGGCAACAAATGTATAAATGTGCTTTACCCAATGCATGCATGCATGGATTGTGATAAGAGTTGTATGAGCCCCCAGTAAAATGATTAAATATAAATTAATTAGTTAAAAGGAAAACAAAAGAACAGCAACATATAAAAAGCACTCTATGTGGCCTTTGCATTTTAAAATAAAACAGGGAGAAAACATCAACTATAACTCACTGTAACTTTGTCTCCGTTTTGCAAAAGCAGCCCAACATCCATGAGATATTTACATTCAGAAATAACCAGGTAGAGTTTTCAAAGCAAATTAGAAGATAGAAAAAGTTCTATATTATACATTGAGAGAAGGCCTAATTCTTTTTCTATGATACTATTCAATTTTAATACTACTATTAGCTACAACTGTAACCTCCCTTGCTTCCCAAATATTAGAAGTTTGTTATTTTTCATTCCCAACATTAGTTGAAACAACTAGATTTTGATTTGTGCTTTTCAACCAAGAAATTGCATATGAGGGTTTCAGATCATCCACGCATGGGTTTATTAAAAAAAACATATTTAAACATGTCTCTGCATACAGTGGTTGGCTACACACAAGTTGTCTCTGTAATACATTACTGTTAGTCTTGTCAGGGTGTTTCTGTCTTTTGGAAAAATACCTATGTGGGGGTCAGGGTTAATATAAAAAATTGGACTAAAACACGAGTGGACAAGTGCACAAATCATTGAAGCATCAAGTTTATAGGAATCATGTCCCACATAACAAGTTTTTAGCTAAATCAAGTGTTTTAAGGACGGTCGAATGACCTCAAAGATAAGCCAAAAGAGGTAAGATCATCAACCTCGATGAATAAAAACCTCGGGCTGAAGACCAGAAACTAATGGAAAAAGACTGAAGAGTTACCATGTTTCAATAGCTTCTTACATGGCCCCATATTCTCCAATTTTAAGTGTGTATCTTGGCCTCTGCAAACTTTTGGCTCAATGGGTGCCAAAGGGTTATTCAAAGATACACTGGCTAATAGAGCTGACCTTCCATCACTCTTTTAAGTAATATCAAAGCAAATAAAGACAATTTTATGGAATGCATTATAAGTGAGAATGAGTCTTGTATTTACTAATATGATCCAGAGAGCACAGTCCAATCAAAACACCATCTTCTGAGAGGATCTGCTGGGCCAGTGAAAACTAAAGCAGACAGGTCATTTCAGAAGGTTATGGTCACTGGTTTGGGGACTTTTTTTAAAATATTGAACAATTCACGGATCTGTGTGTCATCCTTGCGCAAGGGCCTTGCTAACCTTCTCTGTATCGTTCCAATTTTAGTATATGTGTTGCTGAAGGGAGCGCTGGTTTGGGGACTGTCACGTGGTCATCTGGATCGATTTTCTCCAAGAACATGGGATGATCGTGGGCTATGTTAGTAAGAAGCTTTCAGAAAATGGAAAACTGCATTGGTGCATTTGAAGATAGCAAAGGCTACCCTTTGAGAATTTCATTAGGAAACTACCCCATCCACCCTATATGGGAAACAGAGGATTTTGCCCAAGTTGTCTCCCCCAAATATATGCCAGACTTAGCTTCTTGAGAATGACTGTACCCTTGGAGGTCATCAGGAGTGGATTGAGGTCATTCTCCCTGAGAGTTATCAGATGTCTAGACCAAGCAAACACCACTGTTTATCCCACAACAAGTAGGGCCCACTCTCTTCTGATAAAGATAGTAGTTGTCTGTTTCCTTGTAGGAGACACCAGAGAGGTCAAACCCGCCCAAGGATGACCAAAATTAGGCTGCCATCATGAACCTAGGGTCCGCCCATCTTGTCACATGTAAACCCCTAGACCTTCCCATTCCTATAGGCACACCCCTCGCTCGTCCTTTCCTGTCACGCTTATGCCTATCATAGATCCCCTTCCTACAATATGTATGCCTATTGTACTGCCCCTTCCTGTGACGTGTGATTCTATAATCATGTCCCCCTAAAGTGATATAATGCGTGGTTAGCAATAAAGAAAAAGCTCTCCCCGGTCCTTGGGGTTGAAGGCTCCCCGGTTGGAGGCTGTTCCTGCTCTTGTGGCCGGGTTACCCTCATGAGGACCATCAAATGGGGCTGAGGTGAGCAATGCTACCATGAATTGTGTCTGACTCCATTACATGACTCTATCTTTTACCTCTCATGCTCTCAATGACTTTACTATAATCTTTACTTATTATCACTGTACAATTGCACCTACCGGACCTGTGATGATTTGTGGGGGACCCCTCCCTCTCCCCTCAACCCCACAACCCTACATCCCTCAACTGGCCCCTTCAGACTCAAAGAACATTTAAAAGGAACATGATTTAAGTCTCTGGAGGATACCAAAACAGGCATTTTGGTATGGTGCAAATCTAAGAGTGGACAATTCTTTGAGGAAGGATGAGAGAGATGGAAACATCACCTTCAGAAGAGGGTGGACATGGGTGGAGGATATGTTGAGAAAAGATAGCCTCACATTGTGGTACTTTTATTTAATAAGGGTTTCTATGATCATCTAATAATATTTTCTGAATGACCCTCATATTATTGATATATAGAGAGACGAGATTCAGAGAATTCTATACTTGTTGTAGGAGAAATTTTTGATAAAAAATTAGACAACTAGACTTAAGGAGATTTAGTCATTTCAATCCATAAATAGGATAGTTTAATTAATGTTTATCTAGACACTAATACTTTCTAGAATACCTTTTGAAGCCTCTGTAAAGATGAGTGATTTAACAGCATAAGAAAGAATAAGATATACTCTGATACCGAATTTTTTTGTTAAAAGTTTTGAAATTTATTTTTCTAAAGCTGTAAATAAGTCACGCAAAATTTTCAGCAACATAAACATTTTAAAATAGCCATGTTTTAATATAAAGGCTTTTTATAACATTACCAATATTCAGTAATAATAAAAATAAGTTGGGAAAAAATAGGACTGTGAAAGAATAAATTGACCTTGAATGACAACATAATTTCAAATTAGCATGAAAATAGAATGTAATCTTATAATCACCTATGATTTCTTGAACTTCATTCTGATTCATGGCAGGCTTCACAGCTTTGTCTCTGGAAGTGGAGGATTTTGCTCCTGTCAGACTGTGTGTAGCCATATACTCATTTGTGTAAAGCACCTGCATTAAATCATTAATAAACTTCTGAGGCTTGCTCTTATTACAGCGGGCAATCTGCCATTTTTCAATCTTGAACTAAAAGATAAAAATAAAACTGATGTTAGAGAAAAAGAAATATCTAGAGATATACAAAGAGGCTTCAAAAATCTGTTGAAAGATATAATAAAAAGATAACAGATTTTTCCCATGATTTTTTTCAATTCCCCTATTTTAACAATTGAGTTCAGACATACAAGAAAATGATATCAACATCCTTTATGGTAAGTTATTATGCTTTTAATATGTTTTACATTTCAGGGGTAAGAATTAAATGCTATCTTTGAAATAATTCCCACGATTTATGAAGTTCCAGAGTATATACAAATTCTTCTCATATAATCTAAGATCCCCAGGTAGTGCAAGTAATTTTGGCCAACTGGTTGGTAGACAATACCCACTCAGAAGTCCCATGAAAAAAAAAAGGCCTGCTGATCTGCTTCTATAAAAATTATAGCCACCCCCCCAAAAAAAAAAAATTATAGCCAAGAAAACCCTATGAAGTCTTTCCACTCTATAACACATGGGGGCACCAGGAGCTGGACTGGACTCAATCACAATGAGTTTGATTTTGTAATCTGGATTGGGAGCTGTAAGGAATAGTCGCTTCCTTGACTCTTAATGTCAACTGTGGCTTGCTTTACCTGGAAAACAAACAAATTTACAGGCATGATTAAGGTAAAGGCCTTTGACGAGGGGAGATTATCCTAGATTATCCTATGCTCATTCTACTGAAGAGTTCTTAAAAGTAGAACAGGCAGGGGCAGAAAAGTAGGGCAGAAAAATGCAGCCGAAGGAGGAATGATTTGAAGAGCGAGAGGAATTTGATCGGTCAGTGAAGAAGGAAGTGGCCTCCAGACGTGGGGGTGGCTTTCATTTGTGGTTAGTAAGAAGACAGGAACCTCAGTTTTATACCCCCTGGAATTGAATTCTGCAAAAACCAGAATGAGCAGACAACAGTGTCTCCCCTAAAATATTTCTCCAGAAAGGAATGCAGTTCTGACGCCTTGCATCTAATCTGGGGAGAAGTGTACCAAATTTCTGACCTACAAACGGTAAGGCAGTAAGTTTGTGTTAGTTTGAATCTCTACATTTGTTATTATCTGTTATAGCAATAATAGGAAACCGCAATATGAGGATTCAAATATTCAGAATGTTAGATTATTAGTTAGCAGTTTTTCATTTTTTAAATCATTTTATTGGGGGCTCATACAACTCACATCACAATCGGTACATACATCCAAATCTGTCAAGCAGATTTGTACATTTATTGCCATCATCATTCTCAAAATATATTCTTTCTACTTGAGCCCTTGGAATCAGCTCCTCATTTCCCCCCCTCACTCCCCACCACCCCTCCCTCACGGAACCTTGATAATTTACGAATTATTATTATTTTATCATGTCTTACACTACCCGACATCTCTCTTTACCCACTTTTCTGCTGCCCGTCCCCCATGGAGGGGGTTATATGTAGATCCCTGTGACCGGTTCCCCTATTCTGCCCCACCTTTCCCTTACCCTCCTGGTATTGATACTCTCATTATTGGTCCTGAGGGGTTTAGCTGTCCTGGATTCCCTATGTTTCCAGTTCTTATTTGTACCAGTGTACATCCTTTGGTCTATCTAGATTTGTAAGGTAGAATTGGGATCACAATAGTAGGGGGCTAGAAGCATTAAAGAACTAGGGGAAAGTTGTATGTTTCATTGGTGCTATACTGAACCCTGACTGGCTCATCTCCTCCCTGCAACCTTTCTGTAAGGGGATATACAGTTACCTACAGATGGACTTTAGATCTCTCCTCCGCACTCCCCCTCATTCACAATGATATGATTTTTTGTTCTCTGATGCCTGATACCTGATCCCATTGACACCTCGTGATCACAAAGGCTGGTGTGCTTCTTCCGTGTGGGCTTTGTTGCTTCTGAGCTAGATGGCCGCTTGTTTATCTTCAAGCCTTTAAGACCCTAGACACTAAATCTTTTGATAGACGGGCACCATCTGCTTTCTTCACCACATTTGCTTATGCACCTGCTTTGTCTGCCGGGATCGTGTCAGGAAGGTGAGCATCATGGAATGCCAGTTTAATAGAACAAAGTATTCTTGTATTGAGGGAGTACTTGAGTAGAAGCCCAATGTCCATCTGGTACCTTAATACTAAATCTATAAATATATGCACATAGATTTATTTCCCTATCATTAAATATAAATATATTTACATATGCACATGCCTGTATTTAGACCTCTGTAAATGCCCTTTGCCTCCTAGCTCTTTCCTCTATTTCCATTTACCTCCTTATTGTCCCACTAGCATGCTCAGCCTTCATTTGGGTTTTAGGAATTCCTCTCAGATATATTGCCCTTTATCAAGCCCTACCAAGCCTCCTACACCCTACTCGCCATTGATTTTGGATCACCTGTTGTTCCCTTGTCCCTTAGGTTGTTAAACCCACTTCTTTTCTCCTGCCTCCCCCTCTCCCATGTCCCCCTGGAACCGTCCCTCCTATTCTTTTCTCCTTTAGATTGTTAATCACACCTATCTTATCTAAATCGACCTGCATAGATAATAATATCTATTCATCTGCTGATGGAAATTTGGGTTGTTTCCATCTCCTTGCAATTGTGAACTGTGCTGCGATGAACATTGGAGCACAGATGTCTGTCCGTGGTTTGTTTCTTGCCTCTTTTGGGTATATGCCAAGCAGGGGAATTGGGTGGTATGGTAGCTCAATTTCCATCTGTTTAAGATATTGCCAAATGGATCTCCAAAGTGGCTGCACATAGCTACAGGTCGACCAGCAGTGGATGAGAGTTCCTATCTCTGCACAGCCCCTCCAACACTTGTGGCTTTCTGATTTTTTGAACTGGGCTATCTTTGAGGGTCATAGATGGTGTCTCATTGTTTTAATTTGCCTTTCTCTTATGGCTAATGATCGTGAACATTTTCTCATATGTTCATTGGCCATTTGGATTTCAGACTCTGTGAAACTTCTGTTTAGGTCCTTTGCTCACCTCCTCAGTGGGCAATTAGTTTTTTCTTTTTGGAAGCTAGCAGAGTATTGTAGATTTTAGTAATACGGCCTTTATCTGATGTGTCATTGCTAAAGATATTTTTCCAGTCCGTGGACTCTCTTATTACTCTCTTGGTGAATTCTTTTGATGTATGCAGGTGTTTTATCTTCAGTATATCCCACTTGCCAATTTGTGACTCAGCTGTATTTGTATCCTTCCCTATTTCTGATAGCCTACGCATTCCCTGCACCAAAGTTCTCAGGTTGGTCCCAATTCCCTCATTGATGGCCCTAATAGTTTGGGGTTTTACTTTAAGGTCTGTGATCCACCTTGAGTTTATTCTTGTGCATAGAGTGAGATAAGGGTCTTGCTTCATTTCTCTGCAGGTAGATATCAATTTTTTTATAGCACCACTTGTTGAAGAAGGCATCTGCTTCCCATTTTTGGGGGCCCTTATCAAAGATCAGTTGTCTGTATGCTGATGATTTTATTTCTGGGTTTTCAGTTCTTTTCCATTGGTCTGAGTATCTGTCACTATATCAATACCATGCGGTTTTTTTTTTTTGTTTTTTTTTTTTTATATGAGCACTTCATTATTTTATTTATTTATTTTTTTAAACATTTTATTAGGGGCTCATACAACTGTTATCCCAATCCATACACACATCAATTGTGTAAAGCGTATTTGTACATCATTTCTCAAAACATATACCATGCGGTTTTGACCATTGTGGCTGCATAATATGTGCTAAAGTCAGGTAAAGCAAGCCCTCACACTGTGTCCTTTTTGAGTCCTTTGCTAATTCTGGGCTTCTTCCATCTTCATATGAAGTTGGTAATCAGTTTTTCCATTTCTTTGAAGAAAGATGGGGGTAACTGTATCGGGATTGCATTAAATTTATATAGTGCCTTACTTCTCCATCTATCTTGATCAAAAATTTGGTTGGATAGAGTATTCTTGGGTTTGCGTTATTTTCCTTCAGTTTTGGGAATATGTTACTCCACTCTCTCTTCTTCTTCATAGTGTCCGCTTATAGGTCTGAGCATATTCTTATTTGGGATCCTTTATATGTGATTGCTTGTTTTTCCCTAGCTGCTCTCATGGTTTTCTCCTTTTCCTCATAGTTGGATAGTTTAACTATTATGTGCCTTGGTGACTTCTTCTTAGGATTCAGTCCAGCTGGTGTTCTTTCAGCCCCTGAATGGTTGCTTGGTTTTCATTCATTAAGCTGGGGAAATTTTCTTCTAAGAATTCTCTATTGTTGCAGATGACTTCTTTGTTGTGTCTTCTTCCAGTAATCCAATTATTCTGATGTTGTTTCTCTTCATAGAGTCAGACATAGCTCTTAGGTTTTCTTTAGCTTCTCTGGTGATCTTATCAGATTTTTTGTTTGTGTTTGTTAAAGTCTGCTTGGCTGTCCTTTAGGTCACTGGTGTAGTTCCCTGCCTTCTCCAGTCAGTTGGCCAAGTCCATGAGTTTGCGACTGGTTTTTGTTATCTCCTCCCTAAGCTCTTGCATTTCCCTTTGCTGTAAAGTCTTTATCTCCTCTATCATTTCATCCTTTTTATATATTGTTTCCCTCATATCCTGTATGACTCCAAGCAGCATTCTGAAAATTTCTTTCTGTGGCAGACCAATGTTTGCTTCTTCAAATGCACGTCGTTAGGTTCAGGACATCTTCTGCCATTGCCTTTTATTTCTCCTGTTTTTTTTTTTTCTTTTTTCCCTTGAGGTCTTTGGGGCTGATTGCTGTTCGTGTTGTGTTATTTTATAGGAGCCAGGTACCATTTTCCAGGGAGTCGTAGAGCACTGGCTCTCTCTGGAAGACTCGTAGGAATGCTTCTTCGAACTGCCTGCAGCTAAATGCACTATGGAATGGGTCTACTGCTTTGTTCTCCTGTGGCTTAATTCTTTCCCTAGTCAACCAGTATTCTGTTATTTGGAGGGCAAGTTGGATGGTCCACTCAGGGGACGCTGTTTGGGTTTTTGTGGACCCTCGAGGATGGTGCTATACTGGGTGATCTCACAAGAAGCTGTGATGGTCTGATCCACGGCAGCTTGGGGCACCACAGCAGGTGTGTGTGTGTGCCTGCTGCAATGGAAGTGCCACAGAAGACTGGTGTGTTGCCCACTTTGGAGTAGAACACTGCAAATGGTGGGTGGATTTTCCCTGGTCAGGCAGATCGCTGAGGAGTTGGACAGAGCTTCTGGCAACACTGTGGAGCATTGGCGAATGTTGGCTGAGCTGCCTTACGCTGTGTGAGGCACTAAGGCATGTGGGACGAAATTCCCTCTGTCACGTGGGACCACAGAGGATGGGTAGGAGCTCCCACGGACAGGCAGATAGGATTTCCCCCAAGCAAGGTGGGCAGGATTTCCCCAGCCACGTGTTAAGCACTGCAGAGGGAGGGCAGATGGAATTTCCCCCAGAGGAAAGTGGGCGGGATTTCCCTCAGAAGAAGGTGGGTGGGATTTTCCCTGGAAGAAATTGGGCAGGATATCGCCTGGTGGAGCATGGGGAGGCTTTCCCCAGCCTTGGGTTATGCTGCAGAGGGCGGAGCTCTCCCAGCTGGGTGAAGGAGAGGCATAAATACCCTAGGCTAAGGGGAGTAGTTTGGAAGTTGGCAGTGGCATGTGAGAGAAAAGGAACAGAAAACTAAAACTAAAACAAACAAACAAAAACTAACGTGGGGGGACAGAAAGAAGAGAGGAAAACAAAAGTCACAATATAGCTGATCTCCAATCCTTGACCCTGGGGCTGGAGGGGTTTAAACCCTGCCCGGGGATGGTGGCAAACTGTGGCTGGGTTGAGATAAAGCCCCTGCCTCAGCTCCAAAGGGTCCCGGCTCCGGCCAATACAGTGGCAGGACTAAGGTCAAATCCTAATAAACCTCCACTGTGGTAAGCTAAAAGCCCTCAGCTCCTCAAAACCTTGTGGATCTGTGCCTACTTATCTTTATGATGCTCCTCCTGCAACCCAGCAATGTGGAATTTCCCTCTTACTAACTCTCCTGGGCTGATTTCTGCAGTCTCTCTGCTATGTGTTACTCAGTTGCCATCTTCCTGGAAGTCTGTTAGCATTTAATGATAGCTTTTGAAGGCATATTTTCTAAGGCTGATAACTGGTTCTAACAAAGCTCATATCCTTTCAGCATTTGTTTCTTGATTAAGATAAATTGGGAAAACAGATCAAGAATTGTGTTCAGCCAGCATAAAGAGACTGAAATTTACCTTCTTTCAATAATATAATCTTACAACCTCTTAATGCATAATTATTATTCGGTCAATGATTTAAGAGTTGATATAACATTTATACAAATAAAGTCCACATTACACAGGTCTTGCAAACAGTGCAACCCATTTCTGCATTAGTTTTCTATGCAAGCTTTGTACAGTATGTGAGTAAAATGTAGGATTGTAGAAGTTTATAGTGCACTAACTTTGTCAATGTCTATATTTTGACTGTAACTTTTTTAACTGGGCATTTGGTTTACAAATATTGTTTTATCTTTTTTTAAATGCTATGCAGTAAGAATATTATGGTTGTTACCTAAAGTTATCTGAAAAAAACTTTAGTACCTTTATTTTAGTTTTTATATTTAACTGTGTATAAAAGAGCAATAGGACAAGTATTCTAACCAACCTGTTTCTCATCAGTGTGATGTTCCTCCTCAGTCTTCAAGGAAATTGGTGAACTGGAATTAGAATTACTGCACGTTGAGGCAAATGAATCTGGTGAAGAGTTGTTTGCTGCTCTCCACAGGGTGGTTGTAGATGTGGACATAGTTCCTCCACCCTTCAGCAGGGCCTCAGCCATCCCTACCAGTTCTTCAAACTGGGTAACTGCCTGTGGTAGCACTAGAATGGCAAGAAAATGTAACATTTACAAAAAGCTGTTAATAATAGGTGTATATGTACATACTTTTTATTAGGTATCTATGCATAAAAAATACCCCCAAATTGTTAACACTTGTGATCTTTAAAAACAGGCAGCGTAGAAGGAATACTTTGAATGCATTTATTTTTTTATTATTAAAGAACAATATTTAATAATTATAGTAAATTGATTTAAAGCAATTGGTTATATTTAACATTATATGCAGCTTTAAAGACACTGCTGTTGAGTACATTCTGAATCGGAGAGAATCAATAAGACAGCAGAGAACTGCTCCATAGACTTTCCAAGGCTGTACATCTTCCAGGAAGCAGACAGTCACAATCTTCGTCCTGTGAGGAGTTGGTGGGTTCAAACCGCCAACCTTTCCATTAGCAGTGAGCAATTGACCAGTGTGCCACCATCCTGCCTTGTAACCTCATATATGCACTGCTGTGTGTCGAAAAAGAATATTTTAAAAAGTTGACTCCTTTTTTCAAAAATAAAAATACCCCTTGAAGGTGTTTAATCTCGTACTAGGAGACATGCCTGATTCTGTCAACAATCACCTTCCAGAAGCTAACATTAATCTAGCTTAAGTTTCAAGATAAAGGCATTTCTTACTGATAAAAATAACATTTGTATATGATTTTCCAATAATTAAATCCCACTAAGTTAACATAAATTCAATGCCACAATTCAAACCTATGTTTTCACATAACAAAATTAAATTTTGGTAATCAACCAAATGGCCTCATGGTTCCTTTTATTATTATTTTTAATGGAAACTTACACATTCAAAGGTTTCATGCCTCCTTGTAAAATGGTATTCTTTGTTGTTATATCTAGTTTGTTTCCAAAGGACAAATAATATTTTGTTGGAATGGGATGAGACCTTGGACCCTATCTCATTCCTCTCCTCATCCTGTGGTTGAGGACACTCCCTTCTGGAGAGATGAAGGGGCTTGGCCATTGTTTTGAAACTTCTCTGAAGCATATTCTTGAGCTGTAACCTTAAAATGACACTCAACTTGAGAGCTGAAAATAAGGCATCTTATAATGTGTCAAAACCAGTGTTGCTGACATGCTAACAGGGAAAAAAGAAAACGTACTAAAAAGAAAATCTTATTTCCAGTTATTTCAAAAAATATTTACTAAGTACTCTTGGTGTGCTTTTGGGCCAATCAACAATTATTTATTGAGCATTTAGTAAAATTAAAGGTTTATTTAGATTTTACTCTGTGTCAGACACTATTCTGAGAGCTTTACTAATGATTATCAATTTAATTTCTATTATATCTTTTGGAGATACGTAGTGATATTACCTTCAACCAACTGTTGTGGGCAATTAGGCAGCGAGAAGTTAAGAAACCTGCCCAGGGTCATCAAATCAGTGAAAAGGTGAGCAGATTCAAGACTGTACTGTCGGGTTCCAAGTCCATGCTATAAATTACTATCTTATGCAGGCTCTCACTACTCATTAACCACTACGTTGGGTGCTAGGAATAATAATGAGCAAAGCTAGGTGTGGTCCATGACCTTTTGAGCTGAGACTGTAATCGTGGAAGGATACGTTATCCAAATAATCATGAAAAATTGTAAGTAAGGGCCGCAATGGAGAGACTGAAGATGCTTGATGGAGCATGGTGTTGGCGACTTCATGAATGACCTCCCCGAGGAGGTAAAGGCTGACCTGAAAGTTGAAGGCTAATCAGGAATTAAATAGCGGAAAGTAACAAGAGAGGCCTGGGAATAGGAAATACAAGTTCTTTATTTGAGGAGCTGGAAGAAGGAGAAAGCTCGAATGCAAAGAGGAAATGGGACTGTCCTATAAAATGAGACTCTGAAAATGTGTACAGGGCTCCCCAGATTATGAATGAAATCTCCTCCTGCATGTCTGGAATTGATTTTTCTAAGTAAATCGCAATACATACCTACAGTTCTTATTTCACCTACTTTAGTGCAGGATATTCTTGGACCCTTTAGAAAATGAGTTCCAAGCTGCCTGTGCAGCCAAGTGAAGGTGGCTGTGATGAAGAATTTATTGAAAGTAGAGGTTGGCTGAATGGTTTGACACCCCAAACCCCAAACCTACTGCCATTGAGTTGATTCCGACTCAGAGCAACCCTGCATGGGATTTCTGAGGCTGTCGATCTTCACAAGAACACACTGCCTCTCCTTTCTCCCTCAGGATGACTGGTGGGTTTGACTTTCACTGTACAGTGAGCAGCTCTATACTTAACAAGCAGCGCCACCAGACTCCGGAATCATTGCAAAGTGAGGTCAAATTTACTTTGTATTACAGGACAACAAAGAGTTGCCTTTAGATCTGATGTTCTTAAACAGGGGACTGCCTATTTGCAAACCTTTTTCCCCTAATGAGGAAAGTTGGCATAGGCTCTTCTTATCATTTCTATCTGTGCATCTACATGCATGCATTTTCTTATACATAAGTAGGACCAAGCTCTCTCTATATAAAGGAGTCTTTTCGGTAAAGTCTTGGGGTGCTCACCACAAGTTCGGCATTTCAAACCCACCAGCTGCTCCAAGGGTAAAAGGTGAGACTGTTTGCTCTCATAAAGACCAAATGGCTTAAGAAACCCTATGGAGCAATTCTACTCTGTCCTATGGAGTCACCATGAGTTGGAATTAACTGGATGACAACGGGTTTCCTTTGGTTGTGATTATATATACAAATATAAAAACGCTGGAATTAGAAAATCAAAGGGAAGAACATGCTCAGCATTTCTCAAGCAGAAAGAACTGAAGAAAAAAAATTCAAGCCTCCATTTGAAATATTGAAGGATTCTGTGGGCAAAATATTGAATGATACAGGAAGCATCTAAAGAAAGTGGAAGGAGGACACAGAGTCACTGGATAACAAAGAATAGGTCAACATTCAACCATTTCAAGAGACAGCGTATGGTTAAGGGCACATGACACTGAAGATGCTCAGGCTGAACTGATGGCATTTGTGAAAAACAAAGCCCCAGGAATTGGGATGCCAATTGAAATCTTTCAAAAAACTGATGTAGCACTGGAAGCACTCACTAGTCTACGCCAAGAAATTTAGAAGACAATTACTTGTCAACCGACTGGAAAAGATCAATACTTGTTCCTATTTCCAAAAAAAGTGACCCAACAGACTTTGAAACTTATCTAACAATATCATTTTTAGATATTTTTAAACTTATTTTTTATTTTATTATTTTTTACTTATTATTTTTACTTTACCATATGCAAGTAAAATTTTGCTGGGAGCTGCCAGAAAGTCAAGCCACATTCAGAATAGGCCTGTAATGAGGGGTATCATTGCTGATGTTAGGTGGATACTGGAAAGCACTTGAAAGATGCATACTTGTGTTTTATTGACCATTCATGAAAAGGCATTCTACTGTGTCTAACTATTGCAAAGAATGGAATTCAAGCAGACAAGGGGATACTGCATGATTAACAATCAGGAAAGGTAGGTGTCAGAGTTGTATCCTTTCATCAAATGTATTCAATCTATATGTTAGAAAGCTGTGGCATCAGGGTTGGAGAAAAGCTCTTTAATAACCTGTAATAGTCAAATAACACAGCCTTGTTTACTGAAGAGCCTCGAGTACCTGAAGCACTTACTGAGGAAGATCAAAGGAAATAGCCGTCAGTATGGAGTATAATTCAATGTAAGGAACACAAAAATCCTCACAACCTGACCAATAAACACCATGATAAGGGAGATTAGATTGTAGTCAAGAATTTCATTTTACTTCCAACTACCATCAGTGCTCACGGGAGCAGCAACCAAGAAATCAAAAGACATATTGCATTGGGCAAATGTGTTGCACAAGACCTCTTGAAAGTGTTAAAGCAAGTGTCGCATTGAGAACTAAGTGCACCTGATCCATTTTAAATTGCCCCATGTGCATGTGAGAAGTGGACGATGAATAAGGAAAACAGAAAAAGAATCAATGTATTTGAATTATAATGTCAACAAAGAACACTGAAAGTGGCACAAATTAGAAGAAGAAACAAATTTATCTTGGAAGAAGTACAGTCAGAATGTTCCTTAGAAGGGAGGATAGTAAGACTTCGTCTCACATATTTGGATATGTTATCAGGAGAGACCAGTCTATAGAGAAGGGTATCATGCTCCGTAAAAAGAAGAAGACCCTGAACAGGATGAGTTGACACAGTGGCTGCAACAATGGGCTCAAACGTAACACCTGTGGGCATGCACGCAGGGCAGAGAGTCAGTGTTTCATTCTGTTGTGCACAGGGTTACTATGAGTCAGAATCGTTTTGACTGCACATAACAACAATAACATGTAAACCTCATTGCATTGTGGTTCTTTTTCTAATTAAGACTGTAAGGTGAATATTTTTCTTGTTTTATTCAACATGCCTGCAAGAGATTTTTTTTTTAGGTTTAATTTACATACAGGGAAAGACAAGATCTTTTGTGAGGTGAGAGGAGAAATTAAGTAGATGAAAGGGATGCATTTGACATGAGACTGTACCTGGTTCCACACACTCTGTCGAGATGGAGAACATTTCCATCTGCCCAGGAAGTTCCCTTCAGGTCCCTTTTCAGTCCATCCCTGGATTTGCCTTCTGGCCTCTTTAGTCATAAATACAGCCCATCTGTTCTAGAATTCCATATACGGATTTGGACAGTATGTTTTCCTTTTCTGGGTAGGAAGGATGACTTTTTCCTGCCTATTTTGAGATTCATTCATTTTGTTTGGTACATCTGAAGTCATTCCTGAATAGCATTCCATTTTATAGATATTACATAATTAATATACTCACCTGTCAATGGTTTATTTTAGATGTGAAATTACTGTTTTAATGTTTTTCTTTTTTTTTTATGTTTTTCTAATATCCCAGTGCACTTTGTTCTAGAATTTATATGTCCCCATTTTCCTTTTGGAGGTTAGGTTGCTTCCAATTTTTGTTGGTTGTAAATAAAACTGCCGAACTTCCTACTGCATGTCTTCAT